TATTGGATACGCAGCAAGGTTTGACAAGGAGAGAGCATTTCTAAAATTTCGTTTATTTCTTTTAGTCACTACTTCATACAAACTTTGCTTATGCTTTTCGTTTTTAGTTTTCATTTTGGAAATTTGGCACTTTACACAAGCAAAGTATTTGCATGCGATAAGCTGGCGATAAGCCGCAGGTAAAATTTTAATACCTTTAAACAAAACACTAATCACTGAAAGTATTTGCTTCTCAAGTACACATCGATATGATTGGATTTACTTTCTTTTAAACGCACACAACTGTTTGAAGATTCGTTTTTTGTTATTCGTTATAAATAGTTTTCACGATGCTGTTTCCAAGTAAATTAACGGGCTTAAAAATTAATTTTTATTCACAAATTTGTAACGGAATGACGTTAAATAATGTTGTCAAAGTTGCGAAATAATATTAGTTTATAGAGAGCATATTTTTAATGAATTTTCAGCTGGCATACAGCAGTTAAGACCATGTTGTTAACAATATTTTCTCGGCAACAATGTTGCTTGGAGCCGACGTTGTTAGATTATTAGTATTTCTTGCAAAATAACGCTATCAAGATTTGAAAAAATTTAAATATAAATCCTTCGCAACATTTCCGTGAAAACTAAATATTGCGCAGCAAATGTTAGTTTGGGCGACATGGTGCCGGAAATTATAATTCGGTTTAAATTTTTCGTGGTCGTAGTTTTTATATATTCATGCTGCACACAATTACGGCCAAAATATAGTACGAAATAAATGTTGCGTAACAATAGAGAAACATTTACAATGTCTCCAGCATATCGTCGGTGATAAATGACGTGTCATCTGTATCGCTTGTGTTAATCGTTCATCTTTTCAACGAACGGTAGACAGTTTTGTCATTACTTTATGAGTGTAACGATTTGCAGATGCATTCCGGTGCGGACAACAAACAAAGTAAGTGTCAAGGGTACTAATTGACATAGGCGCCTGTCACACCATCAATACGGATCGCGATCCAAATATACGGATCTTGATATTTATTGAAGGTGTAGCATTAAATATTGAAGGATCGTGAGACGGACAGTAAAATATCTAGGAATCCGGATCACGGAAGCGGATCGTGAAATAAATATTGAAGTTGTAGCATATTTAAAATGCGATCCATACATTTCGTGAGTATAACTTGTACTCTCATAATGCGAACATAGAAAACGTATTCGTTCTCGGCGCTGAAAACCTTTCAAAATAAATTTACGTTGCAAATTTTAAAAGAATTATATATAGTAATGCATTCCATAATCTAAAAATTATTGGTATAAAATAAAAATATTTTTTTTTTGCGCCATAATAAGCGTTCAGCACAAAAACTATGCAAATACTGACGCGACAAATATTGAATGTTTAGCACACACTCACAATTCATCAATATTTTAAGATCCATCAATCGCGACCCGTATTGATCGTGTAACAGGCGCCATATACCGTATTGCAGTATCACCGACAATATGCGATCTAATCGAAAAGTGCCTGTGGGTTTAATTTTGCTAGGATGCACATTTTGCTTGAATTGAATTTTGGAAATCGATTAGCGAGTTGTAAAAAACCGGCCAGAGAAAAAGTTTCGAAACTTCTAAGCTTCCCATTAACGTTACTACGCAGATAATTTGTTTCTCTGTTCTAATATTTACATCATGAAAACCTCTATTACTTAAGTATACATTACATATGTAAATCCTAAACTCGTATTGCAAACGAACACCCTCAAGTTGAAAATAACCACTTTATTCCCCTTGCTGTTGTTGCTGTCCCAGCTCGGCTAATGGCTGCTGATAGTTGCATACAATTTTGGCCGCATCATTCATCATTTTTGCTGTTGAACGCACCAAGAACATCAAATGGCATTCATCGTAGACAGTTAGCTCGACACGCGTGCGCACTAGACCGTGTAGAACCGTGGCACGTTCTAGATCCAACCAACGTTGCAACGCAAGTTCGCGTTCTTTAGTCGAACCAGAAAGCACCACATCTGATGGACCCCAAAGCACAAATTCCAGTACCGATTTGGATTTTGATAGCGATTCGGCGCGTTCTTGCAACAATATATCGGCAACAATGGGCGTAACCTTAGTTGGCGGCAGCAGTTCGGTGAGCGCGATGTGTGCGCATTTGCAGAGTGTACCCATGGGTTCGTCCTCGTCATTGTTGTTGCTTTAAATACAAAATTAATTCAGGCAAATGTTTACCAACATCAGTGCTCTACTAAAAATGTATTACTCACCCTTGTAACACGCAGAGACGTGCCTGCGCATCCTTATTCTCCACATCCTTGGATAGAACTACATTCGATAAGCTCAGCGGCATCTCTTCGATCGCTTTAGCCTGCAAATTCTTCATGCCATTCACCAGCTGCAGCATTATAAAAGCCACTTCACGTGTCATGACATCGTCGAATGCTGGCATGCCCAGCATTGTAGCGCTATCCCCGGCTGCCTCCAACGAACTGCTACCACACTTCTCTAACGAGGACTCCTCGTTCAAAGTGCTCAGATTTTGCACAGATACCACATTCCGTAAGGTATTTATGGTAGCGCTATCCTTCAATCCACTAGCAGCCAAATTCGGTATGGAACCACGGAAATTGAAGTTGCTTTTGTCCAACAGCTGCGATTTGCCTTTGAGTATGGCGCCGATCGATTGTAGCGTGTCCAATTGCAAGCGTGGCAGTACCGAAATCGTAGCCTGTAACAAGGTCACAGCTGTGGAGGGCATCAGTGGCAAGTGATAGCTGGGCACCAAATCACAGAATTCCGTAATTGGATTAAGTACACCACAGACGCCACCCGATAGCTGATTCAATTCACCGCCAACACCCGAAAGCTGATTACAGTCTGCCGAAAGCGCCAAGGTGACGGGCGCTGTGGTCCAGAGTGCCGCATGGAAGGCTTTCTTGCCGACAACAAATGCTTGCGCGCCATCCAGTATGGTGAAATCCTCAAAGCGTAAATTAATGGCGTTGGCTAGGGGACGCAGAGCGGGTGGAATGACGGGGGTCTGTTGGAGCTGTATATGGGAAGATCAGAATTACATGCGTATTTATAAACTGTATTGATTTCGGGCATTAAGACACATTGGGCGCTACACACCTGATCGAGCACCTGTGCTAAGGCTTCGTGATTTGCCACGACCACTGCGGTGTAATTGTCCTCTATGGTTTTGTGTACAACACTGCGACCTTTGCGCATGCGCAAACGATTTGTAGCCTTTGCACGATGTTTGATGGCCTGCAAAAGGTTTGAACAGTAGGATGTATAAGTACATTAATGTTTTATGTTTGTATATGGGACATTACATACAATATTTACACCTCAATATTTTTTTGTGGTGAAATATATTTTTTTACATTCGTTATCGAAAAAAAGAAGACACCTATTATTTTATTTCGTCATGAAAATTCGAAAATTTCGAAAAAAAAAATTCCCGAAATTTTGAACTCACGGAGATGTATCTTTTTTCAATTGTTTGGAGTTAGTAAACTATTTGTCGGAGAAAATCAATTAAGGTATAAAAATGTGCGTAATTGCCTCGGCTTTCCATGTGAGTCTGAGATAGATTAAAATAAAAAAAAAAATTGCATCAAAAAATCGATTTTTTTTTTTTAATTTTTTTATTAACTTCATCATGTTTGATTTAAATTTTTTTCAACCTGAATAGTTGTCAAACTTAATGGAGTAAGGTTAGTATAAACTTTATGTACGCAGGTATGAAAAAACTCGTAACTTCTACAGTTTTGGTGTTTCCATTCTCAAATTTTTACAGCGTACTCCCATAAAGTTTGAAAACTATTCAGGTTGAAAAAAAATAAAAAAATCATGTTTGAGTTAATAAAAAAAAAAATACAAAATAAAAAAATGCGATTTTTTAATGCAACAATTTTTTTTATCTATCTCACACTCTCATGGAAAGCCGAGGTAATTATGCACATTTTGATACCTTAACTGATTTTCTCCGACAAATAGGTTATTAACTGCAAACAATTAAAAAAATATACTTTCCGTGAGCTCAAAATTTCGGGATGTTTTTTTTCGGGATTTTCGAATATCATGACGAAATAAAAAACTGGGTGTCTTGAGGTGTAAATAAACAAGAGGTGAATAATTTAAACATAAAATAAGGAAAAGAAAGCCAGTTTTGCCAGGTGAAGTCTAATCACAAGGCATTGCTGCCTGCAATTAATATATGTATGTATGTATATAACTACATGCTTCGAGTATTAATCTATTCTCCAATTAAGCTTTCTTCAATATATCTACATATCGTCACCAGACACGAATAAAGGCGCGAGCTCAAAAGTTGACCGCGAAAAAAGATTCATAAAAAAAACTTCAACGAAGAAAGACTCCTAACATAGTGGTCGGCGAAGAAAGCCGCGTTAAAATATTTGACGGCGAAGAAAGACGGATAAACTATTTTCGCGGTCAACTATGTTTTCGGGTGCAACAGCATGTAAAGAGTTTTTTGGGAAATGATGCTGAAGTCACCGTGTTGGCCCGATGACCCCGAGCTCCTTTATCTTAAAAGGTCGATAGCCGTCGGTGTATCTGATAGTGAATGCCATAGGGAGGACAATCTTAACTCGATTAACTATATTAACTTTATACCATCTCAGCGTTGTTAGACAAACTCAGATGCGCTTAATTTGGATAGGTGTGTAGATTCAAGGCTATCGACAGTTGAGATAAATTAGCTCGGGCAAACAGTATGTCGTTTTGTTGAAGAGTCCTTACTGAGGGCTAGCAGTGGGGAGGCGAAAATAGTGGGCTGCTTATATAAAAGGTCTTTGGTCATCGCATCCCATTTTTACCTTCCTTTTATTAGTTCGGGATGTAACTATGTAATATTGATGCACCTTAAAGATACAGCGATTTCTATTCTCAAGTTACATACTTGATGACAGTATGAATGGCAATTATAATAGGGAGGTTCTAGTTTTTTAAACTATAATTTTATTAACGAGATGTTGAAGAACCCCATTTATATATCGAGCCGCTTGCTTCAAGACAGACGCTCGCTTGTAGCAGCACCTAATGGTGACCAAATGCTACAAGCTTCAGTACACCCTTAAACAGAACATGAAAGAGTGATTCCACCAAACCTTTGTATATTTCCGTCATCACTCCAGGATATACAATGGTTGGGGTTCGTCCCTACTCTGTTAACCTTTATCCTCTTTTTGTGGAGAATTATAATTGATCGGTACCTTATAGAAAGCATTTAGACCTGCTCACTGAGCATATTCCGTTTTGAGTTCTTCCTTGATTGTGCTAGGTCCGAGCTCAAGGAAGAGTTCAGGCACTATGGGAGACGAGGCGGGCCAGGGAGGACTTACCTCTAATGATGAACGGCTGTTTGGCTATATGGGGTGTCCACCCCCTGTAAAGTAGAGGGAAATGTTTTTTATCTTTTGGTGGTACTATCCACTTCCGGTTTCGTCAGGATGTGGGTTAAACTGAGCGGAAGTAACATTTTTTAAATGTGTGTCCTAGACATGTTTTTACCACAGATTTGATTTCTGCGGACAAAAATAAATTACTTTTGTCGAAAACTTTTTTTTTCAATGGACTTCCGGTTAAAAGAATGGACCTCCGGTCTGCTTAAGCCATTTTCGGTTGAAACCGGAAGTCGGTAATAGTGCCAAAAGATAGAGCAACCCTGACTTGGTGACTAATATCCTTTTTTATTTTTCAAGATAAATATTTTCGTCCATTGCGGAAGTCCAGACTTCTGAGAATAAAGGGTTCGAAAAAAGGTTAAGTAATATCTCTTATTAGGCGTTGATAAAAAATAAATCTAATCTGAAGTCGTTCACAACTCTTAGATATTAATGGTCTTCTGCAATAACGACACAACTTAAAATTTCATGTTTTTCAGTAGAGTCGATTTTCCACAGAAAATATGGTTATTAATCAACTTAAGCCGCTATGTAACTAAAAAACATGAAGTTTTAAATTGTGCCGGTAACGCAGGAGTCCATCGATATGTACTTAAATATAAATATTTTTTATCCCCAATATCATTACATTTCTATGTGTATATATCAAACTTTCACTTACCGATGGTATGCCCCATACACTGTCATTAATATCGGTAGCTACATCACCGCCTGCCTCGCTGCCATAATAACTGTACGGCGCATATATTTCGAATTCGCCCACCTCACTGCCACAATATGAAGCTGAAATAATGCGTGGAATGTTGGCTGCGCGGAAAGCGAAGGAAAATGAGGCAGTAAGTAGGCAGTTAAAATAACAGTAAACGTAAATATGTAAATT